TTTACAGCAACATTGGCATGATGTCTTCCACTATTATTATTCTGTGATTCTATTTATAGAAACATTGACCTAATTTGTATAGAACTGACAAACAGTAGTACAATACATTCACTACATTGTGACCTCAATATAGAGACATTTGAAGTTTACTATCACTGAAGATATTAAAATGGATGAGAAATTCAACATTTAACCCAGAAAAACTTGTATACAGGTGAACAAATTAAGAACCAAGACAAATATTACGTCTGCCAGGGGCTTGTATTTAGATAATAATACAGGTGTAGTAAAGGCGTATCAATTACATACATGTATCAGATCATGTCAATTTTCTTACACTTTCTGTTTATTTCGGACAAAATTACACATTATAACAGATACAGTTGTGAAACTATGTCTCCAGACTGGCATTGAAATTTAAATAACTTGATGGTCAAAATGTTAATGTTCTGATGAGTTGGTTGTACAATATGAAAACTATGCATGAACACAACCAATGTTCAAAACATATTGTGTGAACCAAACTGATCAACAAAAACTTTAAGCTATTTAACTTTCATCACATAATTTTGCACTGCATTAAAATTCTGAAGTTTGTCTGGATTCACACATCATAGGTTTCTAAGAAACTCGAACATTAAACAAATGTATTACTAAATTGCACATGTTCATTGATGACAGTAAAAATATGTTTGAAGCATATAAAGGATCAATATACTTTAAAGATGAAACGGTTCTCACACACACATACTCCCTCAGGCCAGTCAATGGGCAGCTCTTATCAGCTTTTTTATTTTTTTTTCTATATCTCGGGCTTTCAATTTTATAATTGTATCATAGTAAGCAAAGCTTCATGAAACTGTTCCCTGGAAGACAAAATGGATAATTCAATAAAGAATGCAAAATTCTAAAGGAGCTGATTCAGATTATCTGGTAACAACTCTGGTCAAATCATTTGATCTGTGAAAAATGAAAACGCCTTGTGTGGATGGCTTAGTTTGGTTTGCAATGGACAGGGAAAGCAGTGACTTGTCTTTTTTATTAGAATCGGCCAGCAAGCTGGGTTTAACACCCCTTAAACAGTCAGGACTGTTTTGATGTGGACTCCTTACACTATCTGCTGGATACCTTAATTTTTTAATTTCAGATGGTCAAATAATACGTCTTGTATCTCCAACTCAGGTTGTGTAGGTTATAACTACTGGCCGAGCCATTATGGGGCCCGCACATATCCATGTGGCTGTTATCAGGAAAAGGATACTTTTTAACAAATTTGTTTTACTATTGGTTGTTGCATACCATGTAGGTAGAAAATATTACAAATGTCAAAAACAATCAAATATACCCAGTAAGTCTTAAACAATAGACATTTAAATGTGATTTTCCTGAACAAAATAACCAGCAAAGAATGAAATGTCATATGACATAGTTCTATTTATCTGGTCTGTCGATGTGTCAAAAAAAAAGTAAAACTTCAGTCCATCACACAAGTTCAAGCAAAAATATTGAAATCAAGTGATCATTCATGTTATGAATATAATCAGACTATGTGACTGCTTTTGTGTTTAAAGCAAATGGAATCTGTAGCAATTGTAAATAAGTTCATGCTTCGTAAGCCATGAGAAAGTCTCCCCCCAATTTACATTTACCTGACCACTACAGCTGTTTTAAATGAATGAATTAATAGTAGCGATATATTTATTTTTTTCAGTGTTATGCATCTAGATTATCACCAAGTTCATTTATTGAGCTGTTACTCACAAAGAATGAAAATCTCTTTTTGAAATAATGGAAAAATTGTTATATATAGGTATACATTTTGTATTACAAGGCATATAACGATACTAGTGCTAACAGGACATATAAAATGTTCATAATTTTCTAATCTCAACAAAGTAGCAAGGAAAACAAACAAAATAAAAGATATACAAGTCCATAAAGCTGATACACTGCGAAAGGTAATAATTCAATGATGAACAATAATATTCTGAAAGGAAATGAAAATTGATATAAAATTTTGTTTACATGCACAGGATTTATCTCCCTTTGATTTGCAAAGTTACTTTTTAAATTTCTTAAATAATAAACGCAATGTAAAATACAAAGAATAGCTTACTATAATTGATGCCCCAATAGATTTTCCTTAATTTTTGTTTATATTTGAACTGTTTGGTGCATACTAACTAAAATGTGTCAATAAAGAGCAGAGACTGCTTGAATTTTTACCCGGTATCAATGAAATCCAATAATTCTGTCCTTTTTGAACTCGCTAAACTTAAGGATTTTCCATGATGGAATTGACTGTCTGGAATTCTGTTATTGATCTAAAAATATCCTTTGATTTAAGTAAATTGCATACCATTAACTGTAGCAATAAAATTGACTAGCTTTGATTTCAGTTCTTGTACCAACGTAGAGTGCAACTCAATGGGATAAGATATAGATGCCTGGAAACATTTATTGTATGAGTTTGCCATGCTGGCAAGAGAAATACTAGGGTTGCTAAATTACGTGGTCTGCCAGACTTGTCTTAATTCTTCTCTATGTTGTGGCAGATTGAAAGTACCAACAGACAAATTTATATTTTGACTTAATGCCAAAAATTCAGGACCCTTTGCGCCAACTGCTTCACCTGCATTTATACATTAGCATAAGTGTAATTGATAATTATTAAAGGTTTGTATTATTTAAGTAAAATACTAGATGTGATATTTGTTTACATTGTTGAATTTGAAATCAGTTCCCATAATTCCAAAGTCTGGTACTCCCTCACATGATTTCCTGGATCTGACTACCAAAACTTACTGCTGATATCAAAGCTGTACTGAAACAGTCAAGACTCTCATGTCAAATTGCACAACAGCTTTACACAGCATCTGTTTTAGATCTGGCCAGCGTTTTTCAGATTATCAATACTCGAGTAACCAGTGAATAACAAGAAATATATCGCCCCTATTAGCAAAATTAATTATAATTAGAAATGAAGCAGAGATATCATCGTAACTTGTATTATACAATCATACACTTTTGTTAAGCTCAAATTTTAAGCTTTTACAACAATTTCCGTCGGCTCTTTGACTTTCTGGATAGACCTTGCTCACAAAATCTACTAGTGCTATAATCCATGTCAGTTTTGATCTGTTTATCTTTTTTGGACATATGAGAAAGGGAAACCACAAATTCAACTAAATTAACAAAACAATAGTAACTCATAGTGACACATTTAGAAAATGGTGAAACTTTCGGATATGACCATGTGGGTAGATTGAAACTTTTACAAAATATAAACTATCAATCAGTCGTGTTGATTAAGGTTGAAACCTTGAGATAAATTTAACAAATGTCCTGTAAATTTTGTTTAGGTTTACTTATATCAGCTGATAAAATAACTGCCACAATATATATTGTATATTTGTTTTATGTTTTTTAATTCACCATGTATTTGTTGTACACTATATTGCCCCAATGCAGAACAAACACATGTTTCTGTTACTCTTATACAGTGTGCCCCTATTTCCCCTTAATGACGATATAATAACCCCTAAATTTGTAAAATTCAAAATTTGTAACCCCAGTTTTTATGGGCCCTTCTATATGAATACATTGTTTGAGGCATACTGTACCCTGAGTTTTAAAAAGCAACGGGGAACACTGTTTAATGCTTTTCTATAAAACCCTATATATGGTATATATTGATACGGTAAGTAAAATTACATTCAAGTTAATTATCTGAATCTGAGTTCCAATAAAAGTGACCTATCATATGTTCATACATTAAAACCAGCTTAATATCATGTTCCATTTGTGAAGGGGAAATGTGATAATAAGTGAAATGTGACATTAACAGTTGACACAATTTTCCATGATGTCTGAACCTGGAAGTTAATTTTCTGATGCACTAAACTGACTTGTTTCTAACAGAAATTGTTCAAGACAAAAAAAATTTTCTTTAACATACCATTTTGCTCTTTTCAAATTCAATAAATCACTGCATACCAAGACATACTTAGTATCTTGCACCAAAATTTTGCATTATAAATATTAGTTTAACAAGTTAACTAACTGTAAAATTAACAGATCCATAACAAGTTGGTTACAAAACAATAACTTTTGCTTAAAAGCATCTAAATAGGGTAATAATTGATAACAAAGATAAATTTGAGAAAAATCTGGTTTTAGGATTAAATTTCCAGAAGACATTGCAGATTAAAGTACAATTTATTGTTATTTTTGCATCAAAGAGAGCAGTCTCTATTTGGTGCTACTTAAATATGATAATCTCAAACATTCTCTAATATATATCATCTGAACAGAAACATCATCACATCCTGTATGTTAATAGCCCAAAGTTTTTTTTATCAACATCTGATTTTATTGAGCTTGTAACATATTCTATATCTAATACAAAAAATGAAAAAAATCGAAACATTTCTATTGACAGCAAAATGAAGCTGTAACATTATATTGAATATAATATTGCTTTGTTTTTTTTTGTTTTTTGTTTTTGTTTTTGGTGGAAGACTAGACAAATAAAATTGGTAAAATTGAAAATTGATTAATTGAAATATATATAACAGGTGCTTTTTTCAGGTGACTAAATGATGAATTTTTTTTTTTAAATAAAGAATATTACACACTGACACATCAACGTTTCTAGCTTCTATGTAAACCTTATTAAAATTACAATGGAAGGCTACATTCTTTATCAAATTAAAATGAAAGGCTACAGTCATGAAATAACATGGCAAGCATCCATCAGTATTTATGATGCAAATGAGTTATTCAAGCCTGTTTCTTTAAGGAGACATTGCTTCATGTACAATGCCAAGGGGTTTATTAATGTACTTCCCCCGTATCTTTTTTCCCCAATATCATAAGATTAACTTATTTTTTAAAGTAACAAAAGAAACCTTTGCCATTAATGGTACATACAAATATTTACATGTGAAACAACACTGACTGATAACATAGTGGATATAAAGTGGTTTATAAGCCAAATGTCTACGCTCAAGGCAGGTGTGTTTTTAATGAAAATGACAGAAAATTATAACTTTTTTATATCACTCTGCAAATTAATTGGCAAGCAATATCTATCAAAAAATTGAAACTCGATCTCCTGAATCGGAAATGCAACAAATAACCAACAATTACAAAAGACGGTCGGCAATTCTTTTGATTAGCATTTAATTAGTGTTAAGAGTAGCAAGGGCATTAACCTTGTAATAGAAGAAAATTACGTAACATTTACATTTAATGAATATCTTGAAAACATCAAAAAACAACTATATGCGTCACTGATAATCTGCATCAAATATTTTTAAACAATATTATAAATAAAACTGGTATTTGTTCCTTTGTAACTTGTGCCAAGTTGTTTATCATCATTAAAATCAGTCACAAACGGTCAACAATATTTCAAAATTCTGAAATAATGATTCTATAATATCTATTATGTTGTTACTGGTTCTCCATCAGTCTACCTATACTAGACATTGACTTACTGATGAACGTCATTGTTATCGTGAAATTTATTATTGAGTACCATATAAATATATGTATATCTTAGGAAAACATTTTGCATTGATATATCATTTGCTTCCTCAACATATAAAGGATATAAAATGTAGACAGAAATCACACTGATTTGAAGGCATTCTAACATGATTGAAATTAATTTGATCTGAATTATCTGTACTGTAATTACAAGCATCGGTTTTCCACACACAATATACATGGTAAACAGATGTATTGCGAAACCTTGCATGTAAATGAGAATTTAAAATCACAAACAAGATTTCCTGATGGTTTTAGATAAAACAGGTTAAGAAAAATTTTTCAGTAATGATGAAATGAAAGGATAATCATGCGGTCAAATTTCTTGCTACCTTTCATTCCAGTAACATTCCAAACATAACTATGCTATTCACAGATACATAAAACTATACGATAATTCAACTGAAATACATAATGAACACATGGGAAGAATACTGATAATAAGGAGGGAGTTCAATCCCGACAAAAGAGAAAAGAAACAAATGATACGAAAAAATTGCAGATACTAATATCTCTCAAGCAGTACATAGGTTTGTTAACTTCCATGCCTGGAATGTCATTAATTAGCAATTCACACGCAGACCTATGATATAGAACTTGTATACAGATGACATATGTGATTGCAGACTTTTATAAAACAGTGACGTCACTAATATGTGTCGAGATGATGACAATTTTGGTGACAAAGTTATCATAAATTTCCTTCGTCCATCATTTTTCTTAAATTTATTACTATATTCGCCATCAAATCACGGAATTTTCCTTCTGGTGCAAAAATCACATCCATGAGATTTTCGTCACAGAATGACTGGAATACATAGTCTACACGTCCTTTTGTCTTGTCCGTTAGATGTCGGTCTATGAGGGTGTGAAGAAGTTGTCTACATTCTTCGATGCTCGACTTAAGAAAGCCTGAATCATATGTAAACTCCACTTCATGAAAACTAATGACAGTCATTGCTAGTGAATGAAACTTTTTCTTGAATGATTCAGCCATAGCTAATTCGTCCGAATTGAATTGATCATTTCGGTATAATATTCCAACTTTTACAACAATCTTGATAAGATATTTCATCATCTTCTCAGCATCCTTTTTGTTGGAATATTCCTTGATGATTTTGTAGGTGGTGTCCAGCACCTTACTTGTCGTTTCATCAATAAAATGTTTTGCAATTGACTTGCTAGACATTTTTCCGAGGAGTTTTTTCTGAATCCGAAGACCCATTCCTCTAGAGTCAAAGCCAGCCCCTGGCTCTGCCACTGAAACACACAAAAGAATTCCTTATCAAACAATTTTAAAAGCAAACAACATGTTTTAAGATATCGTAATTTTACTGTATTGATGGAAATGATATGTTTCAATTTAGATAGATCAAAACCTTCCTACATTGATTTTACGTATATTAAGACATGATGATTTAGATCACATATATGTAAAATTCTGAAAACAAATAGTATCGAAAACAGGAAAGGTTGAAATAAGGAAATACATTGTATACATAGTAATTGTTCTAGTGAGTGACCCTATCCCTAATCTATCATTTTTCTAGTCTTAAAACACAATTTATCACCTTCAAATATCTGTACATCCATGTATGCTAGACGATGCTGTACTGATTTAGTATCTAACCGTTCCAAGTTCTTTACTGTGCATATTATACAAAACCAATAATAATCCTGATTTTTGATGTCAATACTGTGAAATGAAAGGGATGACAGAGGTATTTATCTTAGAGAGTATTACAGCAACACGCATTACAGACCCTGAACGAAACAGCAACAGCAAATATCTGATGATTAACATGACATGGAGTTGAATCTACAGAAGATGGATAGAGATATCACATGATGGCAGGTAATGAGAAATAGCGAATGACCTTATAAAGTAAAAAAATGCTCTACTTTCAGACACAAATGACAATACTGCTGTGTAAAGATAAAATTTCTGTTTCTGTATCCTGTGGGTGACTGTAGCTTATTAATGTGTAATTGACTAAGAGATCCCAGATGGATCAACAAACTATTGTTTGATCTTTATTTGTTTTTTTTTTTTTAAAAAAAGGCGTTTCCTTCTTTTAGAATGTTTTTCTGATCAGTCCCAAAATCAACAGTCCAACTAAGGACCAAGGGGAAGGTACCTATGAAATTTGACAAAATATCCATTTGATACTTCCCAAGAAAAAGCCATATTGAAAATCCAAGATGGCCATCTGTCAATCATTTTGTTTCCTTGAACAGTCCCAAAATCAAAAGGGCACAACTTGGAACCATCATATAAATGATATGAAAACGATACATTCAATACTAGAAATAACAAGAACTGTTTAAGGGCTGACAATGGACAGAGGTATCACCACAGGCCATGGACTCGCACAGAAATTTCAACAGGCCACCATTATTAGAGAATCTGCCAAAGATATTTCTGAATTTGGAGACATCAGGGTAACTAACTCAAAATAAGTGGCCCAAGGTGCCAGCACCTCTCACCTGGCTAATTCAGCTATTCAGCCTTGTGGTCAAAGATAAAAACTGTTTCTTCTGCCCTAAGGGTCTATGGCCTATGGTCTATACAAGACTGATTCCCTATCACCTAATAAAACTTCAGACCAAATATTGGCAATACCCATTCATTCCTACAAGAGGAATAGGATTTTTAAAGAAACTTAAAAAAATTCCCCTCTCAGACCCCTATGGGCCGAGAACCAATATTTCTACAAACTTGGTCCCTAAAGATGCTTTTAACCAAATTTTGTTAAAGAAATTTTAAAAAATTCCCTCTCGGACCCCTATGGGCCAAGAACCAATATTTATAAAGACTTGGTCCCTAAGGATGCTTCTTACCGAATTTTGTCAAAATCTCTTAAGTTGTTTCTGACTAATTTTTAGTAAAAAGCTGACAGATAATGGACGCTGGACAGAGGATGAAATCCCCGCCATGAAGTGAGCTGAAACAGCTTTTAATCTGCCTTGCAATAGGTATAATTCTGAACATTATAAGACTGAAAAAGATGCTGCAAATGATTTGTCAGCTTTTCATTTGTTACACGACAAAAATTTCAATGTAGCAATACTTAAAGGGAAAAAGCACATGAGAATATTAAAAGAAAAGAAAGTTTTAAAATGTTAGTTTTATTTCCCATTCAGCTTGTAAAGTTCATCTATGGATTTATCAAGTGAAAAAATTCTTCAATCCAATGTATTCCATTTTTTGATAATTGGATTTAACACTTTCATGAATTTCTCTACCAAATCACAGTATATATATCGTAATACTATCATCTGCATTTACATATGTTTTAAAACAATTTAATTGAAATTTTGAATTTATTTATAAGTAAACTACAAAATACAATCCATTACACTAGAGTTGCTTCCCTTGAAAGTCCAAAGTAATATTTATATACTTTCAGGTAAATGTTTGAAATATAAGGGGAAGCAATTATCACAGAAAGGAATAAAGAGTTTTAACAACTTCAATCAATTCATTGCAGCTATTCTTGTTTGTTTTTGTTTCCTCTTTTTGTGGGTGGGTGGGGTGGGGGGGGGGGGGGGGGACTTTCCTGAGATTATTTTCTTTTATCAAAAACAATAAACATGTCAGAAGATACTAAGACACAAATAACATTACATGCATTAATATGTATACACTACTGCTAGATATGGGAAAGATGTCAATTAAGAATAATAAATAAAAGATAAAATTTTGCTCAGAGTTACTTTGAGGCTGTGAGTGTAACTTTGTCCAGAGTTACTCTGAGACTGTGAACATAATTTTGGCCAGAGTTAATTGAAGCTGTGAATCAAGTTTTTGCAATAAAAATGTTACTGTATTTTTATTTCGATTTCCTTCCTGTTTTGCTAACTGACATAATGACAGGATAAAATTGGCCTCAAAGTCACCTGAACTTGAAGTGAAGACAATAATAAGATAAAATCAGCAATTATATCAAGGTGCCACTAAAGATTAAAAAACAAATATGAATAATCATGACCATTTTAAAAATCATCTAATATCATCTGTCACTGGTCACTTAAGGTTCATCCTCATTCTAGCCCCCAGATTGAAAGATTGGGGGCATACTGTTTTTGCGCTGTATGTTTGTCTATTGTCAACTTTAACCTTGCCCATAACTATTGCACGGTAAGAGGCAGGGCTTTCATATGTGGTGTGTGTGTTCTTTGTGACAAGACCTTTCAGGTGGTACCTTTGACCTTTGACCTACACTTGAAAAATTTTAATAATGGCCATAACTACTGGACTGTGTAGGTAGGGATTTCATATGCAGCATGTGTGTTCCTTGTGTCAACACCTTTTTAATGGTACCAAAAATTTTCACCATGTGACCTTAACCATGACCTTTGACCTACATTTGAAAGTACAAAAAAAAGTCATTATCACAATGAAGACAAAAATGTTTCACAAAGTGTTCATGTAATTGGCACATGCCTTACACCGTGCAGTTTTAATATCACACTTCAGAATTTCGTTACAACCGGGGACAGTGTTGTCATAAACACAACTTGTTTACAATTAAAATGAGAGTTAACCTTAGGAATCCAGTGAAGACACTGAAAGGTAGTTCTTACATCAATATTAACATCATAACAGTCCATTCTCAGGTTAAATTATTTATATACAGCCATAGATATATTACTGTAGATAATACTCTAGGGTAAGCAACAACATTGGATAATCAAAAATGGAAGCAACGATAACAGGTGGTTAATATTCGTCTATAATTTAGTGATACAGAAATGAAAAAAAAAAAAAAAAAAAACCACAACACACAAAACGTAAGCTAACCCTTCTTAGTAATACCACCTTCATCAGTGTGTGAAGTCATATTGCTACAAAAAAACAAAATCATATTAAAAAAAATCCAAACATTGAAACAACAAATGTACACCTCTCCATCCTCCATTATCCAAGGTTTACAAGATCTGTATTACTCTGTACACCTCTGGAAAATGTCACAGCAAAATTGGCTCCAGGAGAAAAAAAAACCTGAATAATCACAGGCTGATACAGTCTCTCTGAAGATTACAAAAGGTGTAACACCCACCTTCAAAGCCATTATAATATACTGTTATGCATGCGACCTCGAGATTCGTTTGATGTACATCAAAGGATCAAACAAGTCTTTTCGTCTTGTCCACAATGTCCAATGTGAACCTTCAATTTTGCAATGACATGTTCTTGGGGTGCAGAGAGCAAAAGTGATCATAACCCCTTGAGTAGCAAGGATGACACCTCCCTAGCACACTGGGTTAGATCATTTTCAACCAGGTAGCATAGCTGTCAACCTGTGTTATTTTCACAGTAAGTCTCCTAGCTATTCATTCCAAATCATTATACGCTGAATTTTATCTAAATTTATTAAATCTATCGAAAATGAATTAAAGTAATTGCAATACATTCCTGAGCTTGAATAAGCAGGTTTTGTCATATAGAGTTTTCTCCAGAATTTTGAAGACATTCCTTATAACGGTAAATTTTCAGTCACTTTCTCCCTCATTTCAAATCTGCAAAGTTCTAGGCTACCAATGTCATATTTGTAAATATTTTACAGTTTCACATAAACCACACAAACAAAAAGTGGCATCAATTTAATTTTGAAAATGATATACAATCTATATTTTGTATAATGTTTTGAATTTGTGCAGTGATATTTTTCACAACTTCACCAGGAAAAAAAAATATTGCTGTATTATTTCAGATTGGTCACTGCATATCGGTTATTTTCATAAACTTCCAACACCTCCAGTTTGTAATCACATGACAGCCATGTGACACTTCTTTATATATATGGAATACTAGATAGAATAAGATCACCTATTATGATGAAGAATCCATTTGATCACCATGGCATTACTTTAAACCAGCTGAGTAGAAAGGAATCAAGCTTTATACTAATGTCTGCCTATGAGCATTTTTGCTGTATTTTAACATTTATGGTTTGATGTCATGCTACCAATGTGAAAAAAAGAATTTCCATCAAATTTAAGAAATACACAACATATTGCTACCAAAGAAAGATCCTCTTTTTTTCAAATGAATCTATTTTAATCATTGTTGAAGTTGTTCTACAATAAGTCAAGTGACCAAAACCAAAGTTAAGGATGGGATTATTACAAACCAATGATTATAGTATTTGCTGGAAGTTCTACTAAAACAGTGAGGGTAGGCTAACTACAAGCAAAGGCTTATTGATAAAGGAAGTGGTAAATAAGAAATCTAAATTTTTCATTTCTTTCCAAAATTCTGTAAATATGACATTTGTTTTCAATTTTTAAATGCATATCGGATTATAATCATGTATATATAATTATAACCTTGTTTATCTGATTATAACCTTATATATACTGCAGATTCACAAGTTATAATGTTCTGAACTGTTAGATCCTTCCATATTCACTCCAATTATTGAGCAATGATTGTACATTAAGATTACAAATGACAAGGATTAGCTAAGCGAGTTGGAAAGCTGCCTTGTGATTCACACTACCAGGTGTATTTACTTACTCTTGTGTCTGGGTCACCAGACTGTTTGTAGGACTCTTATGTTAGGCCTGTGGTGGAGTTTGTCACTCAGCTGTTGCCCACTAATTACATCTGAAACGAAAAAGGTGAAAGGTCAGCAACATCAATGTATGACACATTTATAGATGAGCTTTGGGGCAGAATTAGAAAGCATGATGGCTAATTCTGTCATTGGTACATTTACATATCAAACACATCCCCTGGCTTTGATATATATATATATATATATATATAGAGAGAGAGAGAGAGAGAGAGAGAGAGAGAGAGAGAGAGAGAGAGAGAGAGAGAGAGAAAGAGAGTGAGAGAGAGAGAGAGGAGAGGGAGAGAGAGAGATAGAGAGAGAGACACAGAGACACAGAGAAGAGAGAGCGAGAGACAGAGAGACACAGAGAGAGACAGAGACAGAGAGAGAGAGAAAGAGAGTAAAAGAGACATAGAGAGACAGAGAGACAGACAGAGAGAGATAGAGAGAGAGATAGAGTATTTCTACAGAAAGGTTTTCTAATTCTAATCAAAATACAATTGTAAATATATCTTTTGAAAATGATCAGTTTACAAACGTCCACTCTTGCTTTTCATTGGCCTGGACACTGAGAAAGGAACCATTCATTAACGCTGTCTGGCTTGTATCATGGCTAGTATAGATCTAGTGAACAGCATATCACTTTCCCTTTCAAATATCTATATCACTTAGGTTTTAAAGGGACTTAAATGACAACGTAACACTCCATAGAATAACTGAAAGGAAATACACTTTAATCTTTCTTCAAAATTGAAATGACTGAAGTGTCCGATAAGAAAAGTGATCAACAACTTTATAACCTTTTATGAGATATTTCTCACATAAAAGAATATGAATTGGTCTGAAAGAGCCTTCAATTACCATTAAACAGCTAATAATTCTATCAAATGGGACATTTAAAACCTACTCCTGCTATAAACTTTAAATATATATTACACACATACTGAGGCCTGGTGTAAACTTTCAACATCGTTTCACTAACTGACCAGGTATGCTGCACAAACTAACTGACCAGGTACGCTGCACAAACTAACTGGCCAGGTACGCTGCACAATAAGTACATCTTTTTAATGCTCTTCATCTTTAATATGTCAAGTTTTCATTTTAACAAGTATTCAATACATATCTGTTCATAAATCCAGTGGGTTAACAACAACAGAGAAAACACCAATTTGTCAATAAATAGTAATTCTAATGCAAACCTAATGGAACTAGGAAAAACAATTAAGATGTAGAGGCCCTGAATAAGTCCAAGGACAAACAACCAGGTGTTTCAGAAGGATAGGCATTTTTTGCTTCATGGACGACACCTACCATGTAGATTTTGGTAAATCCAAGTAAATAATGTCATTTTACCAAATGAGAAAAAGGTAAACGACAATAGGACCACAAAGTTTGCTAATGTGCATCAAACATGCCAGAATAGAAACCGAATATTTCCACATGACATTATTGTGACGACTGCAAAACTTTCTCCCAAAATCATCATTATCAACCTGCATCTCTCAAAACCCTAAGGGCTTGGGTTAATCAGATGCGACAGAGAGGCATAATTTTGTTGTCATTTCCACCTAACTGCAATTTATATGGATAGGCTTTTTACAGGATAGGATCATTGTTTGCTAATATGAATTGCACTTCACTGCAATACTACTTTCCATTAATATTTACTCTTTAAAAGAATTTTAATTGTTTAATACATACAAAAACAAAAAAAACAGGTCTTTAAGTCTTTCTAATTCCAAAAGATAAAACAATTCAAACATTATTCCTCATGTTGACTGCTTCTTATTTTCTTCATTGATTATCTCCCCTTTCTTTATGATTTCCGTTCCTTTAAACTGATGTGTTAATGAAAATAATCTGATAGTTTTGTCACGATAATAGACCTTCTTTAATTTCGTCTATCAAGATTACTCAATACATTAATTTTGAAAGGTATCTAATATTTTCAAAGTCAGAAACATTTCCTTTAGCTATGTTGAGTCACACCTTGCAGCCTCCTATTTCTGTGATGTTTTATTACCAAGTGTAAGATAAGCATCGTTAGATTTTCATTGGACTTTGATCCCCACCCACATTTGTTAATTACAGTATGACACTAGAGCTTTCTGATCAGAAAAGATTAAAACACCATGTTTTTTAAGTAATACTGCAAAACGTACATATTTTGGTGGTGATCTTATTTCAGCACTTTTCATATTTATGTGCTAAAATTTGATTGCGCTAACTATAGTTTCTGTGTGTTGTCTATATAGCAATTGTTGTGGTGTGCTATGTCATCATTTGCTGAAGAGTAATTATGTGCTAAAATTTATTGCATCAATATATGTATATTTACATGATATCTACAGGAAATTTTAAGAAATAATTAAAAATTATGACAACTAATCCAGAATCTTTTGTTTAAAAGTTGAAGATAAGCTACAAGGATCTTAAAGAATCTCAATATCATTTCAACATATTATTATATGGTTTCAACAGATTATCTCAAACCATGATTTCAACACATTATCTCACACCATGATTTCAACACAATACCTTACACCATGATTTCAACACATTATCTCACACCATGATTTCAACAGATTACCTCACACCATGATTTCAACACATTACCTTACACCATGATTTCAACATATTACCTCACACCATGATTTCAACACATTACCTTACACCATGATTTCAACATATTACCTCACACCATGATTTCAACATGTTACCTTACACCATGATTTCAACATATTACCTTACACCATGATTTCAACACATTACCTTACACCATGATTTCAACATATTACCTCACACCATGATTTCAACATATTACCTCACACCATGATTTCAACACATTGCCTTACACCATGATTTCAACACATTATCTTACACCATGATTTCAACACATTACCTTACACCATGATTTCAACACATTACCTTATACCATGATTATAACATATTACCTTACACCATGGTTTCAACACATTACCTTACACCATGATTTCAACATATTACCTCACACCATGATTTCAACACATTACCTTACACCATGATTTCAACATATTACCTTACACCATGATTTCAACATTTACCTTACACCATGATTTCAACATATTACCTCACACCATGATTTCAACATATTACCTTACACCATGATTTCAACACATTACCTTACACCATGATTTCAACACATTACCTCACACCATGATTTCAACATCAAGAGTAAGTTTAAATGAGTGTTTTTTCTGTCTTTTGATAAGCCCACCTTCTTACTGAAGTTCTGTCAGGTTGAGTAATTAAGTTTAGCTACCAAGTATAGACAGTTGACTTGGTCAAACCATGTATCATCTGATCAGAAAACGATGTTGTTTTACCATGGTGTGTCCAGAAAAAAATTACCAAAACACTTTTAATTAATGAGAGACAGACATGAAAATCCAAATCCCTGTTGGGCTTGTTTGAAAATCAAGACCAAATATTTATAAGAAAAACTTACTGGTACCGAATTCCTTTTGGTATCAGTCATACTTGTTTATATCAAGGAAGGAAAGGTACTTGATTAGAGATAACTGCACTGGTTGCTTGATTCACAAACATTTCCCGACACCTGACATCAACAATATGTAACTAGAATGATTTACAACTTTATATCATTATTTTCATCTAGCAATTACGTGGCAAACTCATGCACTTCCACAAATGTTCGGCATGTACAAAATAAGAACAGACCATGGCTAATTGTGAGCAGCTGGTTTAGTCAGTATAGATTAACGACATCTTGAATATTACATTTAGTTACTATTCAGAATGGACATATATTTGCCAACTGTATAATGCAGTGCTGCAATTCTACAGCGAAAATGTTGCTTAGGTTTGCATGAAGATCTGCAGTGTTTTAATTCTTTGTGTTTCTTTCATCACTCTACATCAATGTATGTAAGTGTGTATCTTATTTCATTTTTTGAAAAAAAATGATTTCTTTAAAAAAAAAAAGAAGTCTGCATTGCTATGTGTATATTTAAGGTAATATCCTTCCGGTGTCATGCATAAAAAGTACCCTTACTAAAAAGTACCTGGCTACTTTTTATGCATGCTACCCAAGGGATGGGGATTAAGAGAGTGGAATGGATCGCCATTGACTTAACGATTGTTTTGTGAGCATTTGGTTAATATTGAGGTCAATGGATAGGTTGGGAGGGGGTGGGGAACTTTTTATTCAGGAGAGAGGGAGGTGGTTACATTTTAGTCAGTGTAAAAACAGTATACCTTATATGCAGAAGGTACATTTGTTGCATTACGCGGTTGACAGCAGGATAAATATGGTACATGGAGTCTTAAGAACAAAGTGTATATTCATCATTAAATAATGTATTGTTTCTAATAATCACCCAACTCTTATTCAATTTTCTAACGCATTACTATCAAAGTAAATAATACAGCAAATACGTTAAATGTAAAGACTTCAGTCAGCCATTAATATCTAAATTTACATAAAAGCATCAGAAACTGAAATTCATATTTCATTTATTAAAGGAAACATCTCATCTACAGAATTTTCACATACAAGTATTTGTAACATGTCTTTTCTTTAAAATTGAATCACAAGTACTTTTATATATATATATATATATATATATATATATATAAAAAGTTAAGTGATTTTTACACCCACCTCAGATATGAATGACATTTTACATCTGTTTTACACAATAACAACCATTGGATTAATAATACAACTTCCTCTTATTTCAAGTTATAAACTTTTTGATCCAACTTCTGTTTAGATATCAAAATATTTTTCAAGTGATCATGCATATTTGTTGTTTCCGCTGATTAAAGTGACAAAATATATTAAATAAGATGATCTTTTTCTCTTTGATCTGAATGGAAATCAATACCAACATTCCAGAAAACAGTATTTGTAGTTTGTGTTTGATTACAGATCAATTCAAATTTTAATATGAATTATGTGATGCCACATGTTCCACCTTTCCTTCTTACAGTATTGAATTAAACTATGTTCTTAAACTTTACTGACAGAGTTAGTATCTAAATA